TAGGTATTCTCATCCGTCATTTTGGTTCCTACTAGATGGAGAATTATAGCGTATATAGTATAGTATAGCGTACATGTGTAACACGTCAATTATTAAAAATGATTCAGGACTTTTTTCGACTCATTTTTTGGCAAGAAATAACGCTATGTACTTAGTGGGCAGTCTTTAATAGCGTTTTCGATTATACAGGATTTGAACGACCCAGGGTTGATCAATCACTATTTTACTATAAATGCAAGTCTTTCATTGGTGGAGAGGTTGCAATGACGTCATTAACCAACCCTGGGTCGTTCAAATCCTGTATAATCGAAAACGCTATAAGTGTCACCCTGTATACGCTATAATTCTCCATCTAATAGGAACCAAAATGGCGGATGAGAATACCTACATATCTAATGCCTTACTTCCAGGAGTGTTTTCACCTCGCCACAAACCAGAAACAACATTGCCATTTTCATCGTAATAGTCTACATAACCAGATGGACAATATGATTTAAATCCAACAATGTGTTCTTCTTTTTTCATGATAAAATTATGTAAACAGACTACAGCAGAAATTATAATCTCTACATTATTTGGATGCAAGGCCAATGTGGTTCTCAGCACTCTCCACCTAATATAAAAATATTTATCGCTGTATCGACATTGATTTTTGTATAATTCAATGATTAAGGAATCACAATAATTTATTACTAATCAAGTAATGATCTCACCTGGTTACGAGAATTCCAAAAGCGTTCTCAATAACACGTCGTGCCCTTGAAAGTCTATAATTGAAAACTTTTGTGCAATTCCTAACAAGTTCTTTCTTGCATATGGTCGTAATAGATTTAACCGCAAGGGAAAAATTTCATCACCCACGAAGTAGTGATTGACTAGCAATGTTGAGTTTGGTAATACCTTTGGTGGTGGCAGATCTAATTCATCACGTTCTAGAGCACGTCCAAATGCCGATGCACTGAGGATACTTGTGTCTGATAATGATCCTAAAATATATATTTTATATGCATATTTAAAAATTTGTTATTATTTCAAAAACTTTGTAAAATAATACTAAATGATGTATTCTCACCATAATCTCCAATGTCTACAAAAGTAAATGCATAATTGGCATCACATGTAGCTAGCAATACTATGCTATAATATCCTTTGTAGTTATAGTATGCTGAACCAGAATTGGGTGGACATTGCACACGGATGTGCTTTCCATCTAGAGCTCCAACACAATTGGGAAATTCCATCGATCATAAAACCTTTCTCAATATTTTTCCACTCCTTTTGAGAAGGAGGCTTCAAATATGTTCCTTGAAGACGTTGCCAAATAACATTGCATGTTTCTGTAATTATTTTATAAGATGTTGATCTGCCTATGCGCCAATATCTGGCCATTGAAGGAAAACTGTCCCCTGATGCTAGAAAGCTGTAAAAAGGCGCAAACATGCAATTTAATAGAAAATAGAGAGAATGTGTGTAAATGAACGTACATAACAGGGCGATATACATACCACACTGTAAATGCTAGACGGAATTCAGAATCCAGAGATTCTCGCATACTAGTCTTTATCAAGGCAGACCTAGTCAAATTGAGCAGTTCTTCAAATTGTTCTACTGTCTCGTCATTTTAAAAAATTCTTCATAATTTGTGTATTTATACTTTAAAAATAAAGTAGTGTATGCTCCTAAATGAGGTCTTTCTCGCTTATCTGGTAGCATCCACCATCTTCGATTTCTACTTTTACGTTGTTTTGTTAACAGCAAATAAGAGGCTAATTGCACCCATGCAATTGCCACAAAGAAGAACACTAAATCTTTTTTTTCCATTGCATTTACGTGATTTACAGCTGTAAAACGTGCGCTTTATTCTTCTTTTGCGCCTGCGGAACTATCTGCTTTCTGATTGGTTCTTTGTGATCATTAAGGCTAAAAGCTATGAGTTTATGGCGTTCATTGTAGACATTATAACTTAACGGCTTATGCTATGGCTTACGACTTAAAGCTTAACTCTTAAATCTTACGTATTAAAATCTCATTGTAGACAACGCTTAAGAGGGAATGCTCGAGCATTGCGGCAAGCGGCATACCGTACGCCGTACGCATTAATATGCAGTGTATAGTCTTTTATGCAACAGTGTATGGAAATAAACGATCAAAATGGTATACTGTAGAGCTTGTGTCATAACAGCAGCAGCTCGAAATCATGGAATAACGTTTCATCGGTTAGTATTATTAACAATAATGAGATTTTTATTTTGGAGATTATAATCATATGTATAGTATTGTGAAATTGTAGATTCACAATAATTACTAAATAATTTTCACTTACAAACAGGTTTCCAAAAAATCCGGATCAAAAAATGCATGGATAAATTTTTGTAAGGACGAAGGATTTAATATAAATTTAGATTTTAGATTTTAACATTGCTCTTATGGAAATACTGCACGAGTGCAATCCCAATGAAAAACGCCATTAAAATTTGGTATTATTGTTGCATATTATAGTTATTTTCTTTTAATTGTACATTATTTCCTAATTAAACATAACAAGTCATTCAATATTGGCGCCTTTGAGCGGCCATCTTGAGCGACCACTTTATATAGTCACTTCCGTCCGCACTTTTAAGACCAAACGTTCCCTCCTGTTTCTTTTTACTCAATGGTAAAACCGGTTGTTGGCGAGGGACGATGAAGGAAGGGGGGAGCTACAAACAGCTTGTGGCGAAAGGCGATGAAGTAAGAGGGGAGCTAGAAACAGCTTGAAGGTGAGGGGCGATGAAGGAAGGGGAGAGCATGATGATCTCATCTGCCAACAGTAGCTGTCTGAGATAGCTTCTGCTCGCAGATGACATCATCATTGTCCCTCTGGCCGCTCGCCCTTCTCTGCATTTGCCCCTCTTGCCGCTCGCCCCTCTCTGCATTTGCCCCTTTTGCCGCTCGTCCCTTTTTGCGTATGAGGTAACCTTCTCTCTATTTATTTTGGCCAATGGGTGCGTTCAGAAAACAACAGTTGCACAACTGTTATGTATGCTTGTCGACACTCGACGTTAATTTGTTGGCACTAAAAGATCTGATAAAATACTCCAATGGCAATGAGCGCTCACACAACCGTTGTGTTTTCTGAACGTGCTCATTGGCTACCGCCTTAGAACATATATACTGGAAGGGGCATAGTCTATCTAAGGGCTTGTTCGTTTTAGCTGCACTGGGGCAGCTCTGGGTCTGCTCTAAACAAGATAATACAGGACAAACTATTTATCTGTCCTGTATTATCCTATGTAGAGCAGACCCAGAGCAGCCCCAGTGTAGCTAAAACGAACAAGCCCTAAATATACATAACAAAAGTGTCTCCTACATCTATCTATCTTTGTCTGTACAAAATCAGTCAATGCGCTTGCGCGAATGAATAACCGCTTAAGTTGAAAGTAGAAAGATTTAAAATAGGTGGAAGGCATTTGAAAATTTGATTATAACAATTTATTCTTTAAGTTATATTATAATATAATTGCAATATATTATAAATTATATATAATAATATGTAGTAATATGTAATAATAGTCTTGCAAAATAAAATAAAAATAATGATGCACATAACCAAAAACAAATACTGTAATGAACAATAATTATATACAGGATGTACAGGATAAACTAAAATAAGATAACAAACTTTGAGGAGCGAGACCAAACATGAAAAAAAATTTGACATCAACATATGTCCGTCAAACCCACTGTTACTGATATAAAATATAT